TATATATATATATATATATCTATAGTGATTTTTACTCTTAAATAAGAACTCCAGGAATGTAAAAAGTTAACCCTTGCAGTGGGGCTGCCTTCAGCAATGAGTGCTCCTCTCTCCCCCTGTGCTCCAGCTGTGGTATGTCCCTTGGTGTCCTCGCGTCTAATGCAGGTGAATCGACTGCTTTAGACATGATGACATCAGCAAGGCTTAGACTGTCAGAACCTGGGGGGAGAAGAGGCTGCGGGGACTGGTATAGCTTTTTAGTTTTTTGTTCAGGCTGCAACGCTGAGTGAAAAAAAATCTTGTCAGATTCCTCCATCCACGCTAACAGCATACTCTCTCATTGAGTACATTGTATTCTGACAGTATTTTGTGCTATTGATTGTTTATGGGTTTGTTTTATTGTTTTTCAGTGAAGAACTACGAAAAGAAGCACGTCAGCTGAAACGGGAACTAAATGCAGCCAAAAGAAAAAAGGAAGATGAAGCAAAAGAGACTCAAAGCGCAAATGATGCCAAAGAAGGTGCACACATAAACACACCCATATATATATACATATACAAATATCAGGAAGTGTTGTAAGATATAGCAAGCAAGAAGCAATACACTTTTATTGTTCTGATAAATAATAATAGTAATATTAGGTTGCCAGATTATAAGCTCCTGGCTTCTGCTGGTTCTCAGAACTCAAACAAATCTGCAGCAGCACATTTTCTCTATCAGAAGGCAAAGCTGCTAATTGGCTGGCTTTCACTAGACATCATTTAGAACAGTGAAAATGAAAAGTTTAGCTTTAAAATAACGCTTTGGGTCTGTTTTAATCATTTCATTATTTGATGATTTATGCCTTTTTTACGTTCCTTTTAAATATTATAAGAAGCATATCAGCTGTGAGGCGGTATGAATTTTGTAGTATAGCTTCAATATACAGATACAAATTAAAACAAGATTTCATGGAATGCATGACCCTAGTTGCATAGAATATGGCACTCCTGGCAATGTCATTTTTACTTAAAGGAATATCAGGGGTGCATTGTCCTTCCCACAATGGTGAGGGGAATAAAAAGCAGCAACACAACACAGATGTTTCACTTTAGTCATTAATACACTTAGCTGTAAGAATAGCTTATTTGTTTTTGTTTTGTTTTTTAAAACCTTTGCTTTATATAATTGTTGCTCAGAGTCAGGGGCATATGCTGGCTCTGAGTACTGGGACACATCTTTTGCAGGGTGTCCCAGGTCCTGAGGTCATGACTGCCTGACATTTTTTTGTGGAGCTCTGCAGTGCCTGTGGCATTAGCATTGCAGCATGTTCTCCCTGTGCTTGCGTGGGTTTCCTCCGGGTACTCCGGTTTCCTCCCAAACTCCAAAGGCATGCTAGAAGGTAAATTGGTTCCTATCTAAAATGCCTTGTAAGTATGCATGTGATCTAGGGAACTTCGACTGTAAGCCCCTTGAGTGCAGGGACTGATGTGAATGTATGCTATGTAAAAGCGCTGCGTAAATTGTCAGCGCTATATAAATACCTGTAGTAATAATAATACTTCTTCCTGCCTGTCAGCAGCAGTTCAGAGTTGAGGAAGGCTTTTTTTTTTATCTCTTACCCTGCTCCAGTCACATGACACAGCCGAAGGGAGGACTTCCCCTCACTCTGTTGCATCAGAGGTTCAGGGGGGAAAGTTTTCTTAGTAGAGTCTGTAATGGGGGAAGGGGTCTGTATTAAGAGGGTATGCTGGAAAGGGGGTGTCTGTCCTAAAACAGTCGTTGGTGGGGGGCGGCGTCTGTGCTTTTGTGCCCTGTTTTGAGAGGATATTTGGGCTTGGGGTGATTAGAACTGGCAGGAAGGGGTAATTTATGTTTTGAACTAGCCTGTATGTTAAAGGAGAACTATGGGGTTAAGGCTTTTCCCCATAGTTCTCCTTAGGGTAATGGGAGGGCACAAACTAGCGTCCTCCCGTCACCCTAGGCTCAGTATACCGCGAGCTGTATCTCGCGGTATATTGAGACGCCGCAGTATACCGCGAGCTACTGCTTGCGGTATACTGAGATGCCGCAGCTGAAGCGGATCTCGACAATTATGCCGTGATCCGCCCAACTGCGTGACTGACAGCTGGCTCTGCCTATCTAGAGGCAGAGCCAGCTGTACACGCCCCCTCCACCGTCCGTTCCGCCAGCCAGCGCTGGCGGATCGAAGCGTGGAAATCCAGCCCCTCCCCTGTCACGGCAGAGAGCGGTGACAGGATCGAGAGGTGAGCGAATGCCGGTATGTGTTCGCTCACCTCCCGATCTACTGAGCCGACCTGTGACAGTCTCATTGTCACAGGTCGGCTAGAACTATGAGGTGAGTGAAAAGCACTCACCTCATAGTTTTCCTTTAAACACATCTGACCCCTGCACTCTGTGTGTTACATCTTCCTGACCCCTGCACTCTGTGTGTTACATATTCCTGACCCCTGCACTTTGTATGTTATGTACTGGTGATCAATGCACTTTGCACGTTACATACTCCTGACCCCTGCACTCCCTGTGATATCCACTCATGACCCCTGCACTCTGAGATGCCCACTACTGACCCTGGTACTTTTTGTGACACTACCGCCTGACCACTGCACTCTGTGATTAATGCAGTCCTAACAACCCCTGTACCCTGTGCGTTACCCACCCATGACCCCTGTACTCTGTGCATTACACACTCTTGAGCCCTGCACATTGTGTTATATGCATTCTGTGTGTTATGCATGCCTGGTCCCTGCCTTCTGTGTGTTGCACACTCTTGGCAACTGCTGTCTGCATTACACACTTCTGAGCCCTGCACTGTATTGATGTTGTACATTTCATACTCCTAATCACTGCAATCTGCATGCTAGGCTCTATTTGACATACTCCTGATCACTGTACTTTAACTACAATATATACTCATGAAGTTCTTCTTTAAAGTAGGCTGTGTGCCTAAAAGCATATGTAAGAAAAGAGTTTTATTTTTAAAAATGAGTGTGCTGATGTTTGTAGATTTTCACTTGTGGCTCAGCTGTTAAAGTATGTTTTGTAGGCAAATGGACTGTAGAATAGGTGTGCCCTGTGTACAAGTGGCTGATGGCAATTTGCCCACACCCACTAGTTCCTTATTCTTTTCTTCTCTTCTGGGTGCCCACAGGTGCCCCAGGGTCTTTCACAATGCTAGTAATGCCCCTGCCCAGAGTGATGAGGGAATGTTTTATTGATTATGCATCTATATATTTTAGGCGTTCCCTAAAGACTCATCTCTTCAGGGAAGCCTATCCCACCTCAACCTAACCACTGAACCTTCACATTCTCACATAATTCATTCCCACAGCTACCACAGCTACCTCCTCATGTATCATTTCCCCCTCCTCTTTCAGATTGTAAGCCCTCAGGGGCAGGGCCCTCCTTACCATCTTGTCTTGAATTGTATTGTAACTGTAATGTCTTCCTTATATTGTAAAGCGCTGCGCAAACTGTTGGCGCTATATAAATACTATGTAATAATAATAATCTATATGATTATATGACCAGATTATGTCTTCATTTCTATGGTGTTCTAATGGACCATGATGAAATATATATACAGTCAATGGTTCATCCTTCCTTGAAAGGGATAAAACTGATTGCAGATCTCTTCATTTGCGCAAGTGGCTATTGCTGCTGCCAAAATGCTGTCATTGCCTTTCTTGAAATAGATTATTTTTCTTTGTGCGACATTTACTGAAGGGTTGCCAAAAATTACATCAAACACCATTCATTTAACCACCACATTTCCTTAACATTTTGTAACACTTGATCAGATATTTAAAGAGATAGAACCTTTTCACAACTTTCCAGTAAAAAAAACTGTCAATACGGATATATAACTTAGGTCAGTGTGGAAGAGCATTATTAGCCTTCTCAAGTGATGTATAATCTAAATGAAGCCAGTCATTCCTCACTTTTTTAATTTGAGGGGTTTTCTACTCGTAACAATAAACATAATTAACTAATGTTTAGCTTTAGAGTACTTTTTGAGACATCTGCCCCAGGAATGCTGTCCTTTCTTGGATAGTGCAGTGACCCATGGGATTTGGCCTTTATTATATTGGCCTGACATGCCTTTACCCACAAGCCACCTCTTTTTTTTTTTTTAGAGAAACGTGTTTGTATTTTGTATGTGTGTTGGAGAGTTACAAGAACTTTTCCTTGGTCATTAATCTCCAATGTAAATACAGAGCCAGGTGTAAAGGAGAGAGAGAACAGAATGCTGAAACCTAAGTTAAAAGACTTTACTGCTGGTCACCTGAATTTTGAAGATTAATTGTTGCAGAGTGTCTGCAACTACAGAATTCAGTATGGTCTTGTTTCAAAACATATTTACTGCTTGTTATAAATATGAAAATCTTTTGAATGCTTATAGTTTAGCCATTTCTACTTTTGTAGGTACTGATCCACCAGGGGCACTGTCTGACATCTTCCTATTTGGGCAGTATGATACTTAAAAAAAACATTGACTGTGGCATTTACTCACAAGGCTACCAGGCAAATTGACATTCTAACTCTATGAGCATACAAGACCATTCAACAACACATTAAACTTGTATGGAAAAGTTATTTTTTTCAACTCTTTATTCTCAGAGGATGTCTGATAAATGTATTGTTAACCATAAATACTATACCATACTTTTCCAAATGGTGGTGTTCCTTGTTTTAAAATCATGTTTTCACTTGATATTTCTATGGCTTACTATACTCATCCGCCCTCCCATACGTGCCATACCCATCCTAGGTTTTTTCACCAATGTGTTGATTTCTACTTCAGTGATTTGATATGGATAACAAGACAAAACATGACTGATATCTGTACAAACATTTGAAAAATACATTGACCTTACAAGTCTAAAATTTCAATCCATAAACTTCTATATATCCATCTTTTTCTTTTCACTTTCACTGGCTCTTGAGTATTCAACTTACCCTGTTTCCCCGAAAATAAGACCTACCCCGAAAATAAGGCCTAGTACTATTTTTGGGAATTGCTCAAATATAAGACCTACCCCGAAAATAAGACCTAGTTGTGACCATTGCCAGGGCCGGTGGTGGCATAAGGGGGAACTTGAAGACCCGTGGGTGAGAATCAACGGTGCCAATGAAGCCATTGGCAGCGGAGGGAGCAGAGCCGCATAAGCCGATGCCTCCTCTATAGCGCCGGCTCCTGTCACTGGCGGAGTGATACAATGCACTGTGCCTGTGAGGAATCGATAGTGAAAGCGCGCTTCGCTCATTCTGGCCAGCGATTGGTTACCAAATTGCTCTTGGAAAGGGACGGCACCCTTGCCCTGATCACCCTATTTTTGAATTTGCCATTTTGGATTATTTAATTAGAATTTGCATTAATTTTGGATTGTTGTATATCAAAAAAAAAAAAAGACCTACCCCGAAAATAAGACCTAGAGTGTTTTTTTGAGCCAAAAAAAATATAAGACAGTGTCATATTTTCGGGGAAACACAGTACCTAGGCTTAGAAGAAAGACAGCA